GGACGCTGTAGCATGGGGTCACTGGGTCACTTACAATTCTCGAAGAAATTTAGCAAATTTCCGCTAGATCCTGCTTGTACCTGTGCCTGGATGTTGAAATGTGCAGACATGACATCAGGAAAACTCGTTGAGAGACAGATGTTTCTAGTGCAGGGTGATGAAGTGAACACAACTACATTCTATTTCCTTCCTCTCTATGGGCAAAAACAACTGCTGCGACCACCGCTTCCCACCAATGTTTACATGATTATTTAGTGATGCTGCAGCGGAGCGGGGTAGGTGATAAACGCCTTCAGAGGCTTCTTACTTTATTTGCAAAGTCATGGTGGGTACACAGGCTTGTGTGTTTATGCCCATGGCCCGGGAGGGCAATGCCCACGAGGGAGAGAGGGAGTAGACTTGTTGTCTGCTTCTAGGCCGGTGAGTGAGTGAGAGCCAGTGGGGCCAGCATCCCACTGACCTTGGCAGGCCTAGGAAGGGCAGCACCTGAGTGCCACGAAATATGAACTAAGCTGGCAGACATTATAGGCTGTCTGTGCAGACAGTACAGGCTGTCTACACTTACTAGGTGAAGGTTCGTGTTCAACTTTTACTAGGTGAAGGTTTGTGGTCAACTCTTACTAGGAGAAGGTTCATGGTGAACTCTTACTAGGTGAAGGTTTGTGGTCAACTCTTACTAGGTGAAGGTTCGTGGTCAACTCTTACTAGGTGAAGGTTTGTGGTCAACTCTTACTAGGTGAAGGTTCATGGTCAACTCTTACTAGGTGAAGGTTTGTGGTCAACTCTTACTAGGTGAAAGTTCGTGGTCAACTCTTACTAGGTGAAGGTTTGTGGTCAACTCTTACTAGGTGAAGGTTCATGGTCAACTCTTACTAGGTGAAGGTTTGTGGTCAACTCTTACTAGGTGAAGGTTCGTGGTCAACTCTTACTAGGTGAAGGTTTGTGGTCAACTCTTACTAGGTGAAGGTTTGTGGTCAACTCTTACTAGGTGAAGGTTCATGGTCAACTCTTACTAGGTGAAGGTTTGTGGTCAACTCTTACTAGGTGAAGGTTTGTGGTCAACTCTTACTAGGTGAAGGTTCGTGGTCAACTCTTACTAGGTGAAGGTTTGTGGTCCACTCTTACTAGGTGAAGGTTTGTGGTCAACTCTTACTAGGTGAAGGTTTGTGGTCAACTCTTACTAGGTGAAGGTTTGTGGTCAACTCTTACTAGGTGAAGGTTTGTGGTCAACTCTTACTAGGTGAAGGTTCATGGTCAACTCTTACTAGGTGAAGGTTTGTGGTCAACTCTTACTAGGTGAAGGTTTGTGGTCAACTCTTACTAGGTGAAGGTTTGTGGTCAACTCTTACTAGGTGAAGGTTTGTGGTCAACTCTTACTAGGTGAAGGTTCATGGTCAACTCTTACTAGGTGAAGGTACATGGTCAACTCTTACTAGGTGAAGGTTTCTGGTCAACTCTTATTAGGTGAAGGTTTGTGGTCAACTCTTATTAGGTGAAGGTTTGTGGTCAACTCTTATTAGGTGAAAGTTTGTGGTCAACTCTTACTAGGTGAAGGTTCATGGTCAACTCTTACTAGGTGAAGGTTCATGGTCAACTCTTACTAGGTGAAGGTTTGTGGTCAACTCTTACTAGGTGAAGGTTCGTGGTCAAATCTTACTAGGTGAAGGTTCATGGTCAACTCTTACTAAGTGAAGGTTTGTGGTCAGCTCTTACTAGGTGAAGGTTTGTGGTCAACTCTTACTAGGTGAAGCTTTGTGGTCAACTCTTGCTAGGTGAAGGTTAGTGGTCAACTTTTACTAGGTGAAGGTTTGTGGTCAACTCTTACTAGGTAAAGGTTCGTGGTCAACTCTTACTAGGTGAAGGTTCATGGTCAACTCTTACTAGGTGAAGGTTTGTGGTCAACTCGTACTAGGTGAAGGTTCGTGGTCAACTCTTACTAGGTGAAGGTTCATGGTCAACTCTTACTAAGTGAAGGCTCGTGGTCAACTCTTACTCGGTGAAGGTTCGTGGTCAACTCTTACTAGGTGAAGGTTTGTGGTCAACTCTTACTAGGTGAAGGTTCATGGTCAACTCTTACTAGGTGAAGGTTTGTGGTCAACTCTTACTAGGTGAAGGTTCGTGGTCAACTCTTACTAGGTGAAGGTTCATGGTCAACTCTTACTAGGTGAAGGTTTGTGGTCAACTCGTACTAGGTGAAGGTTCGTGGTCAACTCTTACTAGGTGAAGGTTCATGGTCAACTCTTACTAAGTGAAGGCTCGTGGTCAACTCTTACTCGGTGAAGGTTCGTGGTCAACTCTTACTAGGTGAAGGTTTGTGGTCAACTCTTACTAGGTGAAGGTTCATGGTCAACTCTTACTAGGTGAAGGTTTGTGGTCAACTCTTACTAGGTGAAGGTTCGTGGTCAACTCTTACTAGGTGAAGGTTTGTGGTCAACTCTTACTAGGTGAAGGTTCATGGTCAACTCTTACTAGGTGAAGGTTCGTGGTCAACTCTTACTAGGTGAAGGTTCGTGGTCAACTCTTACTAGGTGAAGGTTCATGGTCAACTCTTACTAGGTGAAGGTTCGTGGTCAACTCTTACTAGGTGAAGGTTCATGGTCAACTCTTACTAGGTGAAGGTTCATGGTCAACTCTTACTAGGTGAAGGTTCGTGGTGAACTCTTACTAGGTGAAGGTTCATGGTCAACTCTTACTAGGTGAAGGTTCATGGTCAACTCTTACTAGGTGAAGGTTCATGGTCAACTCTTACTAGGTGAAGGTTCGTGGTCAACTCTTACTAGGTGAAGGTTCGTGGTCAACTCTTACTAGGTGAAGGTTCGTGGTCAACTCTTACTAGGTGAAGGTTCGTGGTCAACTCTTACTAGGTGAATGTTCGTGGTCAACTCTTACTAGGTGAAGGTTCATGGTCAACTCTTACTAGGTGAAGGTTCGTGGTCAACTCTTACTAGGTGAAGGTTCATGGTCAACTCTTACTAGGTGAAGGTTCATGGTCAACTCTTACTAGGTGAAGGTTCGTGGTGAACTCTTACTAGGTGAAGGTTCATGGTCAACTCTTACTAGGTGAAGGTTCATGGTCAACTCTTACTAGGTGAAGGTTCATGGTCAACTCTTACTAGGTGAAGGTTCATGGTCAACTCTTACTAGGTGAAGGTTCATGGTCAACTCTTACTAGGTGAAGGTTCGTGGTCAACTCTTACTAGGTGAAGGTTCGTGGTCAACTCTTACTAGGTGAAGGTTCGTGGTCAACTCTTACTAGGTGAAGGTTCGTGGTCAACTCTTACTAGGTGAAGGTTCGTGGTCAACTCTTACTAGGTGAAGGTTCGTGGTCAACTCTTACTAGGTGAAGGTTCGTGGTCAACTCTTACTAGGTGAAGGTTCGTGGTCAACTCTTACTAGGTGAAGGTTCATGGTCAACTCTTACTAGGTGAAGGTTCGTGGTCAACTCTTACTAGGTGAAGGTTCATGGTCAACTCTTACTAGGTGAAGGTTCATGGTCAACTCTTACTAGGTGAAGGTTCGTGGTCAACTCTTACTAGGTGAAGGTTCATGGTCAACTCTTACTAGGTAAAGGTTCATGGTCAACTCTTACTAGGTGAAGGTTCATGGTCAACTCTTACTAGGTGAAGGTTCGTGGTCAACTCTTACTAGGTGAAGGTTCTTGGAACAGCTGACAAATGCATTATCATGTACATATTTAAGGATCCACTGAACTCGTGAATTTTTAAATGCTGTACAAAAGTAAATTTTCAGTATTCAATTTTTTTTTGCAACTTATTTATTTGCAGTTCTCTTCAGTTTCTTAAGAAAAAAATTGATTTTTATTTATGTATGAAAACTCATTTGATCAAATAACTTAAAAAAATGGCAAATTAGCATTTACAAATCCCAAATTCAATACAAAAAATATTTGCACTTAGAATTCATTTATTACAAGGAAATACATTAATATAATAAATTTAGCAATTTTAAATTTACAAAGTGTAAGTGAAAGCAAAACTTTATTTTAATAAATCCCATCAACGCTTAAAGTTTGAAGCCTATCACAAAAGGCATTCTCCAGTAATTGCTGATCAGCATTATTATTTTGAAGCCGATGATATTTTTTAGTTACAGCACAAACTTCAGCGATTCCAAATTCAATATACAAATTTACTGCACTGACAAATTTGCCAGCACACAAACTACACAGAATGGATACTACCCTAGCAACACGCTGCCCCAGCCATTAAACATTAAAACCCTTCGGAAGAGGTCGAGTTAAATATGTTGAACGTGATTTAACGGGTTTATAAATTTCGCTCTCATCCGTCGTTGAATTGAGAGATACCTTTATTGAACATTTGAAGCTATGTTGCAGAGGGTTTTGGAAGATGAACTCATTCCAGGATGCTGGGAATATGGTAAACAAGATATGATCTATGGGCATGAAGCCCCTGTCTGTTGTCTCCGGATTCTTGCCTAAGTTACTGTGCACCAGTAACTAAGGCAAGATCAGATAAAGGCATCTCGTGTTTTGAGAGACATAAAAACCACTATCATTGACAAGAACACCATAATTACTGAAAAACATTAAGTAAAAACTCTATCAGTTTCGCTCATAGAACCACAACAGACACAATCAGCCAAGAAATATCCATCACCCACCAGAGGTATTGCCACAACAAATAGTATTACTAGTATATTTTATGAAGTGCTATATCCAAGCTGGTCACTCAGCACAACGAGTTGCAGACACTCGATATTCAACAACCAGTAACAGCACCACTATACACAACACTTTCATAATACCACCACCAATACGACCACAGAACATAAAGCAATTACTCAGAGAGGAATATGTTAGTGTATATGCAAAGATAAATTAATTTCTAGTCTAGGGATTAAAGTATTCTTATCTGGTAGTGAAAAGATCACACAGCCTAGATGACCAATGTGTAATCGATTACTATTAAAATTAATTACCAACCATGCAATAAGCTAATGTATTTTTGTTTGAACAGTGGCGCGCGTATTGACGAATTCTTGGATGAAATGCTGGAGATGGAAAAGGAAGCATGGAAGTAAAGCGATTGGAAGAGGCTTCGAGGCTTACAAGAATAAAACCCAGTGCTACATCTATCACCTATATTCAAGATTTCTCTCTTAGAAAAGAGAGACACTGACTGGAGGATAATACTTTTAGAAACCTCACACCTCCTTCTAATCTCCAAGCTACGGATTATCTACATAATATTCACATAATATTCAGCCTTCTTGTTGCAATATTCACCACCTATGCTTCACACCCACATAAGAGCATTGGTATAACTATGTTCATACATTTCCCTCTTTGTTTCCATGTATAACATTGTTTGTCTCCACAGACTCCTCAGTGCTCCACTTACCTTTTTCCTTTCATCAATCCTATTACTCACTCCGTCTTCCATAGACCCATCTGCTGACAAATCCACTCCCTAATATCCGAATATATTCACTTCCTCTATACTCTCTCCCTCAAATTTGATATCCAATCTTTCATTACCTAGATTTTTTATCCTCACGTTGCTCTTTCCTATGTACACTTTTGATTTCCTTCTTTTACATACCTTTCCAAACACATCCACCAACCTCTGCAACTTCTCTTCAGAATCTCCCAAAAGCACAGTGTCATCAGCAAAAACCAACTGTGGCAACTCCCACTTTGTGTTAGATTCTCTGTCTCTTAATCCCACACTTGTTACCATCTATAAATATACTGGACAACCATGGTGACATCATGCATCCTTGTGTAAGGCCTACTTTTACTGGGAAATAATCATCCTCTCACGCATATACTCTAACCTGAGCCTCAGTATCCTCGTTAAATCTCTTAACTGCTTTAAGTAATCTACCTCCTATTCCACATATTTGCTCATCTGCCACATTGCTACCCTATCCACCCTATCATATGCCGTTTCCAAATCAATAAAGGCAACGAAACCTTCTTTACCTTATCTATCTAGATACTGTTCAATGTCAACACTTAGTCTATACATCTCCTTCCCTTCCTAAAGCTTCTTCATCTACGATCATGCTCACCATCTTCCTCTAACTTTTTTTCAGGAATAACTTTACCACCATATACCTTATACCATAAAAGGTGTGTGTGTGTGTATATAATATATATATATATATATATATATATATATATATATATATATATATATATATATATATACACACACACACACACACACACCTGACGACACTGGAGGACAGGAGAGATTGGGGGGACATGATAACGACTTACAAAATACTGAGAGGAATTGACAAGGTGGACAAAGACAGGATGTTCCAGAGACTGGACACAGTAACAAGGGGACACAGTTGGAAGTTGAAGACACAGATGAATCAAATCGATGTTAGGAAGTATTTCTTCAGCCACAGAGTAGTCAGGAAGTGGAATAGTTTGGGAAGCGATGTAGTGGAGTCAGGATCCATACATAGCTTTAAGCAGAGGTACGATAAAGCTCATGGTTCAGGGAGAGTGACCTAGTAGCGACCAGTGAAGAGGCGGGGCCAGGAGCTTGGACTCGACCCCTGCAACCTCAACTAGGTGAGTACACGCACACACAAGAAGAAGCTGGAGGATCAGGCGCATATAACAGGGAGGGCACTGCAATGGATCAGGGAATACCTGACTGGGAGGCAACAAAGAGTCATGGTACGAGAAGAGGTATCACAGTGGGCGCGTGTGACGAGCGGGGTCCCACAGGGGTCAGTTCTATATCCAGTGCTATTTTTGATATATGCGAATGACATGATGGAAGGAATAGACTCTGAAGTGTCCCTATTCGCAGATGATGTGAAGTTGATGAGAAGAATTAAATCGGATGAGGATGAGGCAGGACTGCAAAGAGACCTGGACAGGCTGGACATGTGGTCCAGAAACTGGCTTCTCGAATTCAATCCTGCCAAATGCAAAGTCATGAAGATTGGGGAAGGGCAAAGAAGACTGCAGACAGAGTATAGGCTAGGTGGACAAAGACTACAGACCTCACTCAGGGAGAAAGATCTTGGGGTGACCATAACACCGAGCACGTCACCAGAGGCACACATTAACTGCTGCAGCATACGGGCGCCTGGCAAACCTGAGAATAGCGTTCCGATACCTTAATAAGGAATCGTTCAAGACACTGTACACTGTGTATGTTAGGCCCTAGCAGCACTAGTCTGGAACCCACACCTGGTCAAACACGTCAAGAAGTTAGAGAAAGTACAAAGGTTTGCAACAAGGCTAGTTCCAGAGCTTAGGGGAATGTCGTACGATGAAAGGTTGAGGGAAATCGGACTGACGACACTGGAGGACAGAAGGGTCAGGGGAGATATGATAACGATATACAAGATACTGCGGAGAATAGACAAGGTGGACAGAGACAGGATGTTCCAGAGAAGGGACACAGAAACTAGGGGTCACAATTGGAAGCTGAAGACTCAGACGAGTAACAGGGATGTTAGGAAGTATTTCTTCAATCATAGAGTCGTCAGGAAGTGGAACAGCCTAGCAAGTGACGTAGTGGAGGCAGGAACCATACATAGTTTTAAGAAGACGTATGACAAAGCTCAGAAAGCAGAGAGAGAGAGGGCCTAGTAGCGATCATTGAAGAGGCGGGGCCAGGAGCTGAGTCTCGACCCCTGCAACCACAATTAGGTGAGTACACACACACACACATTTTCATCATCATTCACACATAATCACTAACAAACGTCCAGTATCCGCAACCTCTCCTTTAAAGTGGAGGCACTGTGCTTCCTACCTCCAGGATTCAAATCCGGCAACTGGTTTCTCTGAATCCCTTTACACAATATTACTCAGCTCACATTCCAACAGCTCATCAACTCCCAAAAACCATTCGTTCACTTTCACTCCTGTCTAACACGCTCACACATGCCTGCTGCATGTCACAAAACCTTTTTTATACTCCGTTACTAAATTTAAAAAGAGAAACTTTCGTTTTTCTTTTTGGGTTACCCTGCCTCTGTGGGATATGGCCAGTTTAATGAAAAGAAAAAAAAACTCAAGTCCGTTCTGCCGGTTTCCCTGAATCCTTCCATAAATATTACTTTGGTCACACTCCAACAGCACTTCAAGTCCTAAAAACCATTTATCTTCATTTTTATGGAACACTCGCGCACGCTTGCTGGAAATCCAAGCCCCTCGCACACAAAATCTTCTCCAAAGCATCATATTTTGCTCTATCCTATCTAAATGACCAAACCACCTCATCAACCCCTCTTCAGCCCTCTGAATAATATTCTCAGTAACTCCACACCTCCTAATTTCCGCACTACTAATTCTCTGTATAATATTTACACCACAAATTGCTGTTAGACAACATTTCCACTGCCTCCAGCCTCCTTTTTGCTGCAGCATTCACAACCCAGGCTTCACACCCATTTAAGAATGCTGGTACCACTATACGCTTATTCATTCGGTTCGTTGCCTCCATGGATAATGTTGTCTCCACAGATACCTTAATGCACCACCCACCCCTTTTTCTTTATGAATTCTAGCGCTTATCTGGTCCCTCATAAACCCATCTGCTGGCAAGTCTACTCCCAAATATCTGAATTCACTTCTTCCATACTCTCTCCCTTCAATGTGATATCCAGTTTTTCTTTAACTCGTTTGATACTGTCGTCACCTTACTCTTATCTATGTTCACTTTCAACTTTCTTCCTTTACAGTCCCGTCAGAACTCGTCCACTAACCTCCTCAGAATCTCCCAAAAGCATAATATCATCAGCATAAAGTAGCTGTGTCAACTCCCATTTTGTATTTGATTCCCCATAATTTAATCTCACTCTCTCCCCAACACTCTAGCATTTACTAATTTTACAACCCAATCTATAAATATGTTAAACAACCATGGTGACATTACAAACCCCTGGAAAGTAATCTTCCTCTATCCTACACACCCTAACCTGAACCTCACTATCCTCATAAAAACTCTTTACAGCATTTAGTAACTTATTACTATTCAGACACTATACATTACAATATCTATCACATTCCTTTACTATCCACCCTTTCATATGACTTTTCTAAATCCAAAATGCAACGAAACCTTCTCTACCTTTATCTAAATATTGTTCACTTATCTGCTTCAATATAAACACTTGGTTTACACATCTCCTACCCATTCTAAAACCTCCTTGTTCATCTGCGATCCTGCTATCTGTCTTAAATCTAATTCATTCAATAATTACCCTGCCATACAATTTACCTGGTATACTCAGTAAACCTATTCCCCTATAATTTTTTAATTTTTTTTCCTCGCTTTTCTTTATATAATGGAACTATACATTCTCTCTGCCAATCCCTAGGTACCTTCCCCTCTTTCATATATTTATTGAACAAAAGTACCGACCACTCCAATACTATATCCCCATGTGCTTTTTAACATTTCTACCATGATCCCATCAGTTCCAACTGCTTTACCCCATTTCATTCTACCCAGTGCTTCACGCACCTCCCCCAGACTCTCATCCGACTCCTCATCGCTCCTAAAAGATGTTTACCTTCTTGGTCACTGCATGAAATTGCCTCCCTCTCTTCGTCAACATTTAATAGTTTCTAAGAATTTCCCGCCATCTTCCCAATACGTCCAACTCCCCATCTACTAACTCCTCTATCCTGTTTTTAACTGTCAAATCTATTTATTCCCTAGGCTATTTTAACCTATTTAGCTCACTCCAATTGTTTTCAGCAAAATTTGTTGACAGTCCCTCACACACTATCATTTGCTCTTATTTTGCATTCTCTCACCAATCTCTTCATCTTTCGTTTATTCTCCATATACTCCGCCCTTCTTATATCACTTCTGCTTTGTAAAAACCTCTAATAAGCGACCTTTTCCATTTTATCACACCTTATACCTCATCATTCCACCAATCACTTCTCTTCTGCCCCATCAATCTAATACTGCAGTTTTAAAACTATCCGACCTCTCTTCAACCTTTGCACTACCTGTACTTTCACTACACCACATTTATCCCAATATTTGCTCATATCTCGCCCTAACTTCCTCCTCCCTTAGTTTATTAACCTTCACCTCTCTCTTACTTGCTGTTGTCAATTTCCTTTTGCTCTTACTCTAACTCTAGCTACAACTAAATAATCTGATGTATCAGTTGCCCTCTCTATAAACATGTACATCCTGAAATCTACCCATCAACCATTTATCCACCAATACATAATCTAACAAACTATTTTCAGTACGTGCTATATCATATCTTCTAAACATATCCTCTTTTTATTAAAATTTGATTTGCTTATTACCAAACCTCTTTGTATACATAGTTCAATTAAAGGTTCCCCATTTTCATTTTCCCTTGGTACCTCAAACTTACCTACTACTACCCTTCAACAGCATTTAGTTCCCCCACCACAAGTATTCTCTCACTTGATTCAAAACTACCCAGTTACTCCCTCAACATCTCTCTCCTCTACACTTCTTTCTTCTCCATGTGCATAAACACTTGCTAGAAAACACTTTTCCTCTCAGCCTCTTATTTTACTCCATATAACCCTTTAATTTATACATTTATATTCGCCCTTTTCCTGCCATAACTAATCCTTCAACATCATTGCTACTCCTTCCTTATCTCTAATTCGAAACCTATGACCTAATCATATTTCTCCCCACTGAAACTCTCCTACCCCCTTCAACTTTGTTTCACTTAGAGCCAGGGACATCCAGCTTCTTTTCATTCATAACATCCACAATCATCTCTATCATCCGCACAACATCCACGCACATTGAAATATCCCAACTTAAAGGTTTTCTTCTCTTTACATTTAGTAAGCTATTGTGCCTATTTACATTTAGTAAGCTATTGTGCCTATTTACATTTAGTAAGCTATTGTGCCTATTTATATTTAGTTAAGCTATACAGGAAAAGGGGTTATAGTTATTGCTCGTGACAAGGCACAAAACAGTGTAGCTTTGAGAATTTTAGGGATTCTCTGCATTAGAAATTTTAAACCATAGTTTATTGACAGTGCATTAGCAGTTAGATAACTTTTAATTTTGTAACAGTTGCGAATTATCTTAAGTTATGTTATTAACTGACTTTGATAGTTCAGGTGTATACATACAGTTATTATTTACCTGCCTCCACCTGAGGTAACATGCCCACCTCAGTGTGTTATTTTAATCTTTATATTGTTTCAACACACTTTACTATTTAGGCATGCGTATATTTTTAATAACTTATACATCCTGATGATGATAAATTATCATTGTAATTTTGAATTTAAATAAAATTATATAAAAAATCTTTCCTGTTGTCAAACTTGACGTGGACGTTCAAGACTTCTTGGATTTCCTTCTCATGTTGGAAGTGTCATGGGGTTCACGGATGACTGTCAGTGGGTAATGAGCCACGAGGGTTCTGGCACAGTTCACAGGTGACTCAGTCATGGTACAACAATATACGCACAAACAAGAACAAAGAATATGAAATTGAGACAAAACTGAAGAAATTACATAAAAGAAAAATGACACTGTACTATGCATTTATAAAATTATAGAAAAAAAATGTGAGAAGAGAATGAGGATGGAGAGAGTAGAGTAGATAGACAGAGATGAGAAGAGAGTAATGTAGATGAGATGAAAGAAAAGAAGAAACTCGAGAAATGACGGAGTAGAGTGATTTGTAAGAGGAAGAGGATGAGGAGAGAGAAGAGAGGAGAGAGACAGAGAGGTGAAGAGAGGGAGAGATGGTAAAGAGATAAGAGAAGAGAAAAGAAAGAATGAGAAGATGAGAGATAGAGAGAGAGAGAGTAATGATAAGAAGAGAGAGAAACGAGAGAGAGAGAGAGAGAGGAGAGAGAGAGGAGAGAGAGAGAGAGAAGAGAGCGAAAGCTCACTGAACGCTGATTACTAGAAGAAAAATATGCAGAAATACAAAAAGTAATTATCAAAAAGTAATAAATCAAAATAATTTTAATGGTAAGTTGTCCCTAAATTACTGAATTGCACTAAAGTAATGAATCAATGTAAAAAATGTAAAAAAAATAACTGAGAAAACTTGGAGCTAATTTTTAAAAATGCAAAATATATAAAAAGAAATATATCCGCGGACAAAAACATAAAAATATAAGTGTGCAGATATAGGGATATGTAATCACATTAGAATTTGGTTACATCTTTATAAGAACTCACAATGAGAGTTGTGGTAGCCACAACAGGTTCTTTACAGGTTCTGGCAGTCTGGTATATGTACAAATAATCAAACTAAATGTAAATTATGTGGACAGTCTTATAATCACATTATTGAACACATGTGTTTGGTTGCTCACTTCTTAATTAAGGAATATAGAGACCGACATTATGATAACCTGTGTGATGTGTAATTTATCTTACTAAAAGAGAATATCAGACTAGGTATATATGCAAATACCCTGAGGTTGCTTGTAGCAGGCAAAATAAAGTATCTAAATCCCAATATACACTGCTGGTAATCCTTTTTAGGGTCTAATTCCTAGGTCTTTTGTATTTTTAAATTTTCTTGATCTACTGTCCATAGGATAAATATAAGCTGCACAATTAACTAGCACCTTTGGTAGCAAAATCTTAATCTAGATCAAAGAGGCTGATTTATAAGCAAATGATTCGCTTGTGCAACTTAGAACTGCATGATAACGGTGGTGGTCTACACTCAGGCTTGTGCATTTATGATGAGCAAAGTTTTGAGTAGTTCTTGCCGTTGAGATAGTTCGTCAGGCTTACAATAGATAATATTTCGCACCTTAAATGTCTTGAGGAATGGTTGCAGAGCCACAGATTATTATTATTATTATTATTATAATCATGGGGGAGGGAGAGCCACAGAGCTTCAAGCGAGTATAGGTTGTTATGTGGCTGAATTCGCACTGGGGGTTTCAAGGAGATTCAGACAATGGTAGTTGTCCATTACCCCAGACTCACGTAAAAGATGGACAACTTCATCTGTGATCACTTTAGGTACCTGATCAAATAACTGACGCAGGAGCTCGGCCACATGCACAAAAATATTCTGAAACTTGGTTATATCCATTATTGCTACATTGATAGTCTTTTCCAAAATTCCCCGGATCGTTACAGAAGGGTCTAATGTTTCTGCGGGAGAGTCAGAATTAGGTGCCTGAGCAGACTCAGGAGGTTGCTGGTTAAATGATGATGGCAAAGCAGAAAACTGCTCTTTGAGCGTCATTGCAATATGCAAAGCACAATAGAAGTCCCTCAGTCCTTTGTGCGGTAGAGAGTACTGTTTCTTGACGCTATGCTTTGTCGTAATGGGTTTCAAACAAAGAAATGTTGAAAAGACCTCTTGGGAAGGCAACTCTTGAGTGCTAGAAACAGTGCATAATCGATTTATCATCTCATTCTCAAGGGTCAACTGGTCATGTGGGAAGGTCTCTACCGCTACCACATACATCTCTCTCAAAATTATATTAACCTTATAATCTAGGTCCCTCTTACTCATTTCCTTGAACCTTGGATTTATAATCACTAATCTCTCTTTTAACTTCTTTCGCCACATTAGATGAATTTCATAGTAAAGTTCCGTTTCGGTGAGAGACAACAAGTTTAAATTTTCTGATTTTTGGTTCAAGATGTAAATAAAGAATGTTAAATTAAGAGGGAGTCTTAAGTGTTCCTGAAAACTTGTTAGTCTTATCACCACATCTACCAGTTTGTTAGTGCTTTGATTACTGTTTGTTTTTTTAGATATCTCTTGATGAGTCCGTTGAACGAACTGTGGCATTACTTGATCAGTTATTCCTTGTAATTCAATATTTGTCACATCATATTCTTGAGGGATCATCCGCTCGAATATTTCAACTTTTTCTGGTCTTGATGCGCACAGAAATGTTGTGTGAGAAGAATTTTGGCATTCTTGTAAAAGACTTTTGATGAGGTTTTCAGATTGCTCGTTGATTTCATCCAGGCTGTCAACGATAATTAGGAGCTTACAAAGTTTCATAACTCTTAGCAGGAGGTTCTTAAAGTTCGTAGAAACATCAGGCATCAACATGTCCAAGAGACCGTGAGGGGATTTGATGATAGGGTCCCTACATTGTACCCACAGAAGGAGTTCATAAAATCTAAGCCTTCCATCATACCTTGACCACCTTGTATCCATTCTTCTGTGATTAACTTCATTAAAGTCGTCTTGCCGCTTCCTGCCAAACCTTCCAGAAGGAGTACTTGAGGTCGTGTCAGTAAACTTTGTTGCAGCGAGGCAGAGGTCGTAGAATATGCGGCTGTGTTATGAACAAGCTTAAGAAGATGTTTATAGTCTACACTTTCACCTTCACCTCCACGTTTTCCCTGTTTCACTTCGACATCAACAAATATTTCACTTACTTTTAGGCGCAAATTCTTGATGATGAAAGACAGAGGGTTTAAATAGCATTTTTTTTGGAAGCAGTCTTTCAGTATTGCACTACTCTTCTCTATTATAAGTTCCTTCAGATCATCTCTGATATTTATTACTAAATCATCAACGCCAAAAGTTTTATTCATGATGAGTTTCAGATCTTCAGTGATCTGCTTGATCTCTCTATCCACTTCGTCCTGATCCCGTTTATACCGATCTCTCGATGTCTTAAGACAGTTAAATAAAAGATCTAGTAACTCCTTTGTCTTTTCATTTATCTCTGTATCAGTGAATGAATGTTTACCGTGAAGAACATCATTCCTCATATCCTTTATAGCAGTCACGTAGTACTCCATTTCCGTACTTTTATCACGCCACACTAAGTCATTGAACGAGGCCACATTTTCACAGGCAAGTTTGATGCAATGATAGAGCATTGATACATCAAACATTGATCCATCTACACTCATATTTATTAAATTCTCTTGAGCTTTGTCAAAATCTCTTAGTTTCCCTGACACTTTCAAGTAATTTGCAGATGATTTTGGATTCAGTTTTTTTAAATTTTTTAAGTAATCATCCAGTTTCATGTTACTAGGTTTATCTGGGGTTCCCCAACAGAATGTTTTATGCAAGACACGTTGACCACAGAGTTTAACAGCCATTATCATTCTCAACCCATTAAGTTCCTCCATTGACAAGGCATCCATTATGTATTATGAAGAGTAGGTCCTGATGATCTACAATACGAGAATTTCCATTAGATCTTGACTCCCTTTTGTCTCCTCATCTGGAAAAGAAACATTACATGAATTAGTGATGATAAAAGAAGCGGATTGACTGTTGAAACAAGAATAGCATTACAGTACGTAGACTGACTGTTGAAACAAGTATAGCATTACAGTACGTAGACTGACTGTTGAAACAAGTATAGCATTACAGCACGTAGACTGACTGTTGAAACAAGTATAGCATTACAGCACGTAGACTGACTGTTGAAACAAGTATAGCATTACAGCACGTAGACTGACTGTTGAAACAAGTATAGCATTACAGCACGTAGACTGACTGTTGAAACAAGTATAGCATTACAGTACGTAGACTGACTGTTGAAACAAGTATAGCATTACAGTACGTAGACTGACTGTTGAAACAAGTATAGCATTACAGCACGTAGACTGACTGTTGAAACAAGTATAGCATTACAGTACGTAGACTGACTGTTAAAACAAGTATAGCATTACAGTACGTAGACTGACTGTTGAAACAAGTATAGCATTACAGTACGTAGACTGACTGTTAAAACAAGTATAGCATTACAGTAGACTGACTGTTGAAACAAGTATAGCATTACAGTAGACTGACTGTTGAAACAAGTATAGCATTACAGTACGTAGACTGACTGTTGAAACAAGCATACCATTACAGTACGTAGACTGACTGTTGAAACAAGTATAGCATTACAGTACGTAGACTGACTGTTAAAACAAGTATAGCATTACAGTACGTAGACTGTTAAAACAAGTATAGCATTACAGTAGACTGACTGTTGAAACAAGTATAGCATTACAGTAGACTGACTGTTGAAACAAGTATACCATTACAGTAGACTGACGTTTGAAACAAGTATATCATTACAGTACATAGACTGACTGCTGAAACAAGTATACGATTACAGTACTTAGAATGATGTTTGAAACAAGTATAGCATTACAGTACGTAGACTGACTGTTGAAACAAGTATAGCATTACAGTACGTAGACTGACTGTTGAAACAAGTATAGCATTACAGTACGTAGACTGACTGTTGAAACAAGTATAGCATTACAGTACGTAGACTGACTGTTGAAACAAGTATAGCATTACAGTACGTAGACTGACTGTTGAAACAAGTAATAGCATTACAGTACGTAGACTGACTGTTGAAACAAGTATAGCATTACAGTACGTAGACTGACTGTTGAAACAAGTATAGCATTACAGTACGTTAGACTGACTGTTGAAATAAGTATACCATTACAGTACGTAGACTGACTGTTGAAACAAGTATACCATTACAGTACGTAGACTGACTGTTGAAACAAGTAGAGCATTACAGTACGTAGACTGACTGTTGAAACAAGTATACGATTACAGTACTTAGAATGATGTTTGAAACAAGTATAGCATTACAGTACGTAGACTGACTGTTGAAACAAGAATAGCATTACAATACGTAGACTGACTGTTGAAACAAGTATAGCATTACAGTACGTAGACTGACTGTTGAAACAAGTATACGATTACAGTACGTAGACTGACTGTTGAAACAAGTATAGCATTACAGTACGTAGACTGACTGTTGAAACAAGAATAGCATTACAATACGTAGACTGACTGTTGAAACAAGTAAAGCATTACAGCACGTAGACTGACTGTTGAAACAAGTAAAGCATTACAGCACGTAGACTGACTGTTGAAACAAGTATACCATTACAGTACGTAGACTGACTGTTGAAACAAGTAAAGCATTACAGCACGTAGACTGACTGTTGAAACAAGTATACCATTACAGTACGTAGACTGACTGTTGAAACAAGTAAAGCATTACAGCACGTAGACTGACTGTTGAAACAAGTATACCATTACAGTACGTAAACTGACTGTTGAAACAAGAATAGCATTACAGCACGTAGACTGACTGTTGAAACAAGAATAGCATTACAATACGTAGACTGACTGTTGAAACAAGTATAGCATTACAGTACGTAGACTGACTGTTGAAACAAGAATAGCATTACAATACGTAGACTGACTGTTGAAACAAGTATACCATTACAGCACGTAGACTGACTGTTGAAACAAGTAAAGAATTACAGTACGTAGACTGACTGTTGAAACAAGTATAGCATTACAGCACGTAGACTGACTGTTGAAACAAGTATAGCATTACAGCACGTAGACTGACTGTTGAAACAAGTATAGCATTACAGCACGTAGACTGACTGTTGGAAACAAGTATAGCATTACAGCACGTAGACTGACTGTTGAAACAAGTATAGCATTACAGCACGTAGACTGACTGTTGAAACAAGTATAGCATTACAATACGTAGACTGACTGTTGAAACAAGTATAGCATTACAGTACGTAGACTGACTGTTGAAACAAGTATAGCATTACAGTACGTAGACTGACTGTTGAAACAAGTATAGCATTACAGTACGTAGACTGACTGTTGAAACAAGTATAGCATTACAGCACGTAGACTGACTGTTGAAACAAGTATAGCATTACAGTAGACTGACTGTTGAAACAAGTATAGCATTACAGTACGTAGACTGACTGTTGAAACAAGTATAGCATTACAGTACGGAGACTGACTGTTGAAACAAGTATAGCATTACAGTACGTAGACTGACTGTTGAAACAAGTATAGCATTACAGTACGGAGACTGACTGTTGAAACAAGTTATAGCATTACAGTACGTAGACTGACTGTTGAAACAAGTATAGCATTACAGTACGTAGACTGACTGTTGAAAACAAGTATAGCATTACAGTACGTAGACTGACTGTTGAAACAAGTATAGCATTACAGTACGTAGACTGACTGTTGAAACAAGTATAGCATTACAGTACGTAGACTGACTGTTGAAACAAGTATAGCATTACAGTACGGAGACTGACTGTTAAAACAAGTATAGCATTACAGTAGACTGACTGTTGAAACAAGTATAGCATTACAGTAGACTGACTGTTGAAACAAGTATAGCATTACAGTACGTAGACTGACTGTTGAAACAAGCATACCATTACAGTACGTAGACTGACTGTTGAAACAAGTATAGCATTACAGTACGTAGACTGACTGTTAAAACAAGTATAGCATTACAGTACGTAGACTGTTAAAACAAGTATAGCATTACAGTAGACTGACTGTTGAAACAAGTATAGCATTACAGTAGACTGACTGTTGAAACAAGTATACCATTACAGTAGACTGACGTTTGAAACAAGTATATCATTACAGTACATAGACTGACTGCTGAAACAAGTATACGATTACAGTACTTAGAATGATGTTTGAAACAAGTATAGCATTACAGTACGTAGACTGACTGTTGAAACAAGTATAGCATTACAGTACGTAGACTGACTGTTGAAACAAGTATAGCATTACAGTACGTAGACTGACTGTTGAAACAAGTATAGCATTACAGTACGTAGACTGACTGTTGAAACAAGTATGCATTACAGTACGTAGACTGACTGTTGAAACAAGTATAGCATTACAGTACGTAGACTGACTGTTGAAACAAGTATAGCATTACAGTACGTAGACTGACTGTTGAAACAAGTATAGCATTACAGTACGTAGACTGACTGTTGAAATAAGTATACCATTACAGTACGTAGACTGACTGTTGAAACAAGTATACCATTACAGTACGTAGACTGACTGTTGAAACAAGTAGAGCATTACAGTACGTAGACTGACTGTTGAAACAAGTATACGATTACAGTACTTAGAATGATGTTTGAAACAAGTATAGCATTACAGTACGTAGACTGACTGTTGAAACAAGAATAGCATTACAATACGTAGACTGACTGTTGAAACAAGTATAGCATTACAGTACGTAGACTGACTGTTGAAACAAGTATACGATTACAGTACGTAGACTGACTGTTGAAACAAGTATAGCATTACAGTACGTAGACTGACTGTTGAAACAAGAATAGCATTACAATACGTAGACTGACTGTTGAAACAAGTAAAGCATTACAGCACGTAGACTGACTGTTGAAACAAGTAAAGCATTACAGCACGTAGACTGACTGTTGAAACAAGTATACCATTACAGTACGTAGACTGACTGTTGAAACAAGTAAAGCATTACAGCACGTAGACTGACTGTTGAAACAAGTATACCATTACAGTACGTAAACTGACTGTTGAAACAAGAATAGCATTACAGCACGTAGACTGACTGTTGAAACAAGAATAGCATTACAATACGTAGACTGACTGTTGAAACAAGTATAGCATTACAGTACGTAGACTGACTGTTTGAAACAAGAATAGCATTACAATACGTAGACTGACTGTTGAAACAAGTATACCATTACAGCACGTAGACTGACTGTTGAAACAAGTAAAGGAATTACAGTACGTAGACTGACTGTTGAAACAAGTATAGCATTACAGCACGTAGACTGACTGTTGAAACAAGTATAGCATTACAGCACGTAGACTGACTGTTGAAACAAGTATAGCATTACAGCACGTAGACTGACTGTTGAAAAAGTATAGCATTACAGCACGTTAGACTGACTGTTGAAACAAGTATAGCATTACAAGCACGTAGACTGACTGTTGAAACAAGTATAGCATTACAATCGTAGACGACTGTTGAAACAAGTATAGCATTACAGTACGTAGACTGACTGTTGAACAAGTATAGCATTACAGTACGTAGCTGACTGTTGAAAAAGTATAGCATTACAGTACGTAGACTGACTGTTGAACAAGTATAGCATTACAGCACGTAGACTGACTGTTTGAAACAAGTATAGCATTACAATACGTAGACTGACTGTTGAAACAAGTATAGCATTACAGTACGTAGACTGACTGTTGAAACAAGTATAGCATTACAGTACGGAGACTGACTGTTGAAACAAGTATAGCATTACAGTACGTAGACTGACTGTTGAAACAAGTATAGCATTACAGTACGGAGACTGACTGTTGAAACAAGTATAGCATTACAGTACGTAGACTGACTGTTGAAACAAGTATAGCATT